GCAAATAAGTGTGTGATTTTTCTAAGCTTCTCCGAGAGCTTATTTTCGGAAATCTTATCACGGAAATCCGGTGTTTTCCTTCCGTGGGCGTGTTGGTGAATGAGAATACGCCTTCCACGGTTTTTTGCCTTACACTGGAGGAGAACCGATAAAAATATGTCAGAACCCGTTATAGGACGTCAATCCGAATCAAATCCACCATTGCATCGCTAATCATAACTCAGTTTCCGTCTTATTTTAAGTTATTACCTCGGACCACCTTTTTATAACGGATCGTTTTTTTATATGAAGAGTGTTTGACGATCTAAAACAGACAATACGTTCTCCTCTTTGACGGAGGCATGCAGTCTGTTCTGCAAAAATCTGTTGTGCAGGGCTTGACTCTATACTCTATAGCATGAAATAACAGCACATGAAAGTGACAACAAACCTTAATGGGAGCTAGCATGCATAAGGTGATGGCAAGATCACCTCAAAACAGGTCAATGCAGATCCAGTTCAGCTTAGGTCAGGTGCAGCATTAATCGGTTCTTTCTGGAAATTTGTTTTCCCATTATGGACCTATAATAAGCGAATTTCTAATCCACTTTACAAAGTGTAAACCTTTTTTATTCCATAATTTGCATTTGAACAGAGAAAAAATGGTCACGCTTCTTGGGGAACTTTTGAGGTCTGTTTGTGGATTGGCCAAATGCTGTATTTGATTTTATCTTCATTCACTATTTTGACATCATCAATGATTTTGCCTGAACTTCTCTGCTGTGTGAAAAATAATGAAAGCGTGAGGCTTTTTCTTTTCTCAAAAGGCATTTGCACAGATTGCCTTATGTGTAACTTAAATCATAGAACATATTTTGTCAAGGTTTAGCAAATTTTTTGCTATTCAACTTGATGATATTTACCTTGAACTTGAATTGAAGAAAAAATCACTGGAAAGGTATGTGGAGGTGGAAGATGCTTCAGTGGAGTCTGCAGTGCACGCAGAGTTTTGGCGAAGTCAGTGCATTTAAAGACAGAGTATAATCTGTGACCTGAAAAAAGACATCAAAGTAATATTTTGAAATCAGCCCTTCTGCAGCAAAGTTGGATTTTTTTGCAGATTTTGGGTGCACTCCAGAATGACATGCACAAAAAACCATGACAGTGGGTGCAGGGCAAATTCAGGAAAAATCCTGATATTTTTTCCATTTTCCTCAGAAAAACTGTACTCATAAATGGAAAAATTACATCTTCCAGGCTCACTTTCTTTCCCCTGGCCTTGTGATTGTTTTCCCCATTTAAAGATTCCTCTTCCTTCTTCCTCCCAAAAACAAAATTCCAAATTCATTCCACTGCCAATTCTCAAGCTGATTATAGAGCTAAAAACCTTGCTTTGATGATTCCTGCAATAGTTTGTGAGACTAACTTGTGTGTGTGTGTGTGATTATGCTTGCGTGCACTACAAGATTCACTGATTTACTAAATTCTGTATTAGGACTTGAATGAATGAAAAGCTTTTTTGGAGACTTTACAAAAAGGTTCCCAGCCCATCCCAGGCTGATTGTCGTCCTTTATTAATTAATTTCATCCTATTTTCTTGGTTGAAACACTCAGTCTCTAACATATGCGTAAGAAAATGCATGTTCGAAGTTATTCAATTTCCTTTTGATTAAAATTCCATTTTTATCACAGTAACGGGCAAGTGATGACCGATTCTTTTCAAATTTTCCCTGAATAAAGGAGCAGAAGGACTGGGAAACCATGGATTTCCGCAAATTGGGTGCAAAAATACGAAGAGAACAGTGTCGTCAGCAGTGACAGCAATATTTTTGGTGTCGTGGGTGTCACTGACAACGTCAGTGTCAGCTTCTCCAGTGCGGATCGTTTCACATGCTTACAGATCCAATCCTGTCAGTGTTGCCAGCAGTCCCGTGTATCCGATTGTGCAGCAGTCATTGCTGAGGTCCCCAGCCAACACCAACCGACCAACAGCTCTTCAGTCTACCCAGAGGTCTGTTGCAGTTTCTCTAAAAATCCGGGGTAATTCATCAAAGACGTATTAAAATCAGCGTGGAATGATCATAATTCAAACGAAAATAAACGTTGAGTAATATTAATAATAATATTGGATGGGCGACAAAACGCCTGAGGGCAAATGCTTTTAGTCTCATATATGAGATAAGAACCACGAAATTTGACCTTTTTAAAAGGAAAATTTCATCAATACCTGGAACTTTTGGGAGCATTAGAAAACTTGTTCAAGTACTGCCATGAGAAATATATCACCAAGATTATGCTACTTTCAAACAATTTTGACAGTTTCAGGAGCCTGTTCTTTAAAATCTGAATCCTCAGAATATTATGAAGGAAAAACATCGTTTTCCAGCAAAATACTGCACGAAAATTGAAGAACAAAGTTTTCCTCTTGCTGAGAAAGTTTTTTTTACCAAAGGTTGTTCGTGACGTTTTCTTACGAGAACCCTTTTTGATTCTAATAATACCGTGAGTTGATTCAAAACTGCTTTCTCCTAGAGAGAAAGTGAAAGAACTGGGAAATTAATTAATTCTGAAAGCTGTGACGGAAAGAGAGCAAAAGACTAAAATTACTTCTGCTGATGACTCTTGAAACTGTTGTTCTGCATTTTTTTTAAATCATAAAAGCATTTTTTTCTGCGTTTGGCCTTTACAATGTCGTTCTAAACAAATTGATGAAAGAGAATTCCACCTGCATCTTGTAACTGGACTCAAATTAATGGATACTATTGTCAATTTTAATTTTCCGAGAAAATAGCCTCGCAAACAGCATTACTTGAGGTAAATAAGATTTTGATCATTTCTTTGCTCTCTATCACGTGGAAGTTGATGCTAAGCTGATTTCCCACGCATGCGAAATGTGAGATTCGTGAAAGCGGCTTCATATTGTTGGATCAACGCTTTCGGCAACATTTTTTTCCCCTTTGCTGTTGAGCCCTTGAAAGTTCATTTGCTTAAGAAAGTGGGAGATGATGGAAGCAGATGAAGAGGAGAGAAAATAAAATGATATGAGAAAATAAATTTTTTCCGGGGTCGTAGTTCATCCGTGGGACGTAACGAGACGAAGAACATAACCCGCTGTTTCCGAGCAAAGTTTAGAAATACTTGTGAATTTTACAACGAAAGTGGTTAAATTCAAACGTGGGATAGTATTTTTCGAGTTATTTATCAAAATTCGCGTTATTTTTTTGGCGAAGAATTGTGACATTCGAGTGGCATAAATATTCCGGCTCAACAGCATCATCGAAAAAAATATTGATATTAATCGCTTAAATGTTGCAAAGCAGTCGCGTATTTTGATCGAATTATCTGGCGAACCTTCAACAGAGGAACCATTAAAATTTTAGATTTATTTATTTTTTTCTGATATTCATCGCGAGTTGACGCTATGTACAACACTTGCCTAAGAAAATTGAGTTCATCTTCCAAAAATTGGATCACAAAATTTTTCCTCTGCGAGTTTCGTCCATTGCTCTTTTCACCTTGAGATTGATTTATAAATTTATTCTAATTTTTTTTGTCTCAATAATTGTGAGTTCCAAGAGGAAGGTTTTCTCGATATTATTCCCTTTTTTCAAAAAACAGAATCAAATTTCAATTTTCGCGTTAACGTATCTTTAGCTTTTTACACTGAATTTTTAATGGAATATGTTTTTAGAATTCAAACGAATAGAATAATATGACGAATAAGAAATCCTTTACAAGAAATTCGAAGTATAATATTTGAAAAAATGTTTAAATGAAGTTTAGTACGTGCAATCTACTTCGAAACAATTCTCCGACTTTATCAAACGGTGATTATAAATTATTATTACTTCTGGAGGAGTTCGAACCAAAAGTTCCAGTTTATTTTCATGCAATTGCGAAATAGAGCCGAATCAATTTTACTCGACTTCTATGTCAAGGTTGAGAAGCTGGTTATATTTGCTTATCGCGTCAATCACCATTAATGAAGCATTGCGACACACATTTCTTTATTATTTCCGGAAGATTAAAAAGCAGTCAGTGACAAACCGGTCAACGAAGTTTCCTTATATTGTTTTCCTTCATACAAATATTTATAGACGCGATCAGTTTTTTTTTTAGATTCAGTTCTAGAAGCATATCTGCGTTGATGCGAGAATATTGGCGAAATTTCGTTGTAAAGAAACAAATCTCATCCGCTGAAAAGAATACAATTATGCTTTTGCTGAGGAATTGTTTTTTAATTTCAGAAATCGATCAAAGACTTTCTGTTTGCGTGTGTTTCCGGAATTCAACATTTGCGCAGAATTATAAAAATCATCGATATATGCTGAACGAAACCAAGTCTCACAGCAATTATTCGAAAGTAGAAAAAAATGAAAGGTAAATCACTGAATTAAGTCTTCAAATCCCGAGAAGAACACTTGAAGCTCGTCGTATCTTCCATGAAGCAAGTCCTACATTCTTTTCCCGAAGCCGGAACAAGCTTCTCGCCTACCAATCAGATCATGGGCTCATCGCAATTTTGAAATCGAATCTCTTGTCCTCGCCCACACGAACCGCGAAACGTGTTGAGGAAAAAAATTAAATTACGAATAGAAATGAAAGAATGTGAGCAGAAAAAAAATAGTAATGAAATAGTGGATGAGATTTTCGAGTCGCAGACCAATAACTGACTGCGTGATGACGTCAAAAAGCGTGGGCAGATTCAATAACTCTCACTTTCATTATGTTGCTTCGATGTCGAAAAATCGTCCGGACGACGGAAATCCTGCGAAATAGAGTATTTCGAAATACCTTTTTGTTTCAATGGAAAGTTGTTCATAGGATATTTTTCGCTGCGTTTTTCGTTTTTATTTCAAGTCGATACACTCAAGTTGTCGATCGTAAAGCTTCGAGGCGAGAACCACTGTATTATAAAAATTGAACGACGAAGGAAGAAACTATTTCGCGTTTTAACAACTAAAAAGGCAAAATCATGACAGGAATGTTCCGTGATTTCGTCTCGCTGTTGCGACACAAGCACGAATGACGCGTTCTAAGAAAAATTCAGATGATCACAGTCATAAATTCTGGAATGACTGTGTTCGTAGAAATATTTCCTCATGTCGAGGTGATGAAATGACACGGGAACACAACACCTGTTGACATATTGGTGCTCAAAGAGNTGACACGGGAACACAACACCTGTTGACATATTGGTGCTCAAAGAGCACTTGGAAGGGATTTATGAGCCGTGTCAAAGAGCGAGGAATTTTCCCAGACATTCACCTCGTCATGCCACATGTTTCTTGGATGAGTCATCTTATTTCTTCCGGGTTAATTTTATAGACAACTTGATAAATTCATCGCGTGCTTATTCAGTTGAGGGGCATGATCAATAAGGGCGAACTTTCCCAATGAGCTTGCTTCACTATAAGGAATTAATTGGGGGAGAATTTATTTTTATTTAGTCATTTTTGACACCTCTGGTCTGGATATACGTCGTTCTGGCTTCATTGTCTGATTTTCTCAGTTTTGAAATAAAAAATGTTTTCTGTGAATCGTGTTCCTGCATCCTGCAAATTTTGAGCATATACATTGCCCCATGTATATTTTAAAGACAGAAACAAAATTTTGACTTTTTTTGCATTTTCATTGCTGTAACTATATTCTAGACATAAATTATATTACTTTTATATGAAACAAACCTCATTTTACTCAATATCTGAAAATTTAGAAAAATGCTTATTTCACATACCATCCACCATGAGCCACATGTGGGAATGAAGTACTGTACCGTGTAGTTTGACTCTATAATCCATTGCCAGACTAGGGTCAATTTGCAAAGTGGTCAAATTGAGAGACACTTATTAAAATTAAGAAATATCAGCACAAAAATGCAAAAAGAAGTGGCAAAAGCAAGTCAAAGTCTGGGCCAGAGGTCAAATTGCAAGTCAACTTCCATGCAAACTTGACTGTCAAATGGCTGGGTGGTCAAATTGCAGGAGGTCAAATTTCAAGGCACAACCTGAATTTGCATCAGCTGTTATTTATGTGTAAAAAAAACTTGGAACAAAAATATTGCTACTCTCAGATCTAGCAGGGCTTCAAGAAAATGATAAAATTTGAATTTAGCTATAGTAAAGAGTATTTCTCTTGCAATCCAAAAATCAGGTTTCAATTTTTGTTTGGAATTTTGGAGTTGGGTTGAGAAAACTTTTCCCTGTCCAATCCACTGAAAATTTGCCAAATGAAGTGTCACCTTGCGTACAACTTCTCTAAAGAGTAAATATATATTTTTAAAGATCTAAAAAATCAATATAATTTTTTGCAGCAATGAAAAAATTGCCTGAGTCTCAAGTGGGGCTAATATGCATGACAATCATAAAAATTTTGCCTTAAAAAACAATGGTGTCTCTGTCAGTCTGTCTTAAGCAGTATTTATTTTTTTTCATCGCATTTTTCGTGTTAAAATTTGTATTTAAATTGTTTTTAAATTTTTTTTACAGCTTTCAATCAACGCTGCCATCATTCCCAGCAACCAACCCTGTGCCACAGCCCCCAACGAGTCCCGGAAATAATTTCCTCCTGAAAGACACCACGGCTGGTAAAACAACCGCCACTTTCACCCCCTGGGACGCCTTGAAAGCCAATTCCTTCCAGTCTGCTCCACATCAGTCCATCAACGACTGGGTCCCCTTTTCCCCACTGCTGGCAACCCAGGTAAACTACAGTCTCCCTAATCTCAATCCTGGTGAAGGGTTCTCACCCCATTCCAAGAGATCAGCGACATCTAACCGCAAACGCCCCAAGTCCCGCCAAAAACGGACAACCACGCCTGCGACAAATCCTCCTCGGGTAACCAATCGCAGCAAAAGAGCTTTCACGCCGACCCCGCCTTCGAAATTTAGAAAACCGATAGTGAAAGCCAGCAAAAAACCCAAGATGGCCGCGGAATTCTTCGAAATAATTTTGGCCTTCGTGGCCAAAAATTTTGACGATTTAGTCAGACAAGCAGCAGCGAATCTTCAAACCCCAGCAATAACCACGACTTCGCAGCCTTTGATGAACGTCACGGTTTTGGGGGAACTGAAAAGGTTTCCTGCGATTTTCGAGACCTGGCCCGAGGATAATGTTGATGTGGAAAAGGCAGGAGTAGCCCTGAAGGCATCTAATGCTTTTCTCGACCAAATCCTGGAGACTATGAAATCAGAGCAATTCCCCACGTCTACCGACGCATTGTTCAAGACAGGGATCGTCAAGGATTCGAATACTACTTCGAATTCGACGGAAAAACCCAAGGAACCCGGCACGAAACACGGAGTCTTCGTCACTTTCTCTCACACTATACCCGGACTTCTTCCCAGGTCTATCCAGCAGAAACCTACGAAACAAAAAATTGAAATCACTGCTTCAAAAATGCCGACTACTTCTATGCCTGACCCGGAGGTGGAGAATTTTAAATTGGCTTCGCCGGAGAATTTCAACGAGTCTTTCGAGTCGTCGATGAAATTAGGGGCTAGGACTCATGATGAACTTTTGAATGTTTTGGAAGACAGCTTTCCGAAAGTGGAGAATATCCCGAGGTCTGGTGAGGACCCTGTCGAAATTCGCCAAAAACGGCAAACCCGTTCAGTTTCGGTAAATAATAAGTCGAATAATAAGTCTCCTAATAAGACTGCGAATGCGTCGATTACTGCCTCAAGAAAACGAAGAACTCTCAGCACTGATTCCGGAAATCATACTGCAAAAGTTTCAAATCACATCAGTTCAACCACTGAACCACAGCAGCCTGCTAATTCGCAGGTGAGTCATCATGCTGCTGATGACTGTTTAAATTGGAGGTGAACCTCTCGAAAAATTTGATATTTTTTCTTTGACAGATATATTTCTGTAGGTATATTGTTATGTGAGGTTATTCGTGAGAGAGTCGAAAAATTAAAATTTTTTGCCCATGCAGTCTCAACTTAAATCGCGATCCAAATTTTTTCCGATTAAATGATTTCCTGCTTCATTTTTTTCGCACTTGACATTTTATTTTGTAGGTGTTTGAAAAATATGTTTCACAAGTATCGTAATGAAAAATAAGATTGATTTTGACCATTTTTACGATAAACACTAGCTCAATTAGTCCGAAAAATCGATGGTTAACAGAAATACTAGTTTCATTTTTGTGGAAATTTTGACGAAGTTTTCACTTGAGGAGATGTCAGGGCAATTTTTTGTTTTTGTTTAGATTTTTCACGTCAAATTGTGTTCATGTTGAGCGCGGTTCAATGAAATTTTTGTTACCGAAGTAATGAGGTTCCTTTTTTGGCAGATTTTAGACTATATGCTCAATCATCCCTGCGTCATGTTCAATAAAATATTATTGCAAAAAATGAAAGGAGAATGAGAAAATGTTCATCAAACTGATATTTATGATCCCATCAGATTTTATAAAGATAATATTCATTCTCCAAATAAAAATGCATGTACATGTATAAATCCAGAAACATTCTTACTTAAAAATCAAATCATTCAGTTATTGATTGATAAAATGACCGGTCTTCTTTCAATTTGGATGCAATCAAATAAGGCAAGTTTGAGAAATTTCTCGTGGTCTTTCAAATATTGGCACATGTAAACTGGAACATAGCCAGCAGAGATACAAAAACACCTCCCTATTAAAAAATAAATTGAGTGCATTATTTCCTTGTGCAAAATAAATATCGGGATAATGATTCATCTTGATTCTGCAAATAAAAAATGGACATAGCTATGCATAAATCCAAAAAACCTATTGCAGAATCAAATAATTCACCTTATTAAATCTATCTCCTTCAAATTTACATTCAATCAAAGACAAGTTTGTGAAAGTTCTCTTTTTTTCGAATTTTGGCACATTTGAACTGGAACATGTCCATAGAGATAGATACAAAAGCACTTCCTTAGTCGTAAAAATATTGAGTTCATCATTTCCAGCTGAAATACTTGAGGATAAATATTGGGATGCCATTATAGCTTTTGTCGAGAAGCAGCTGGTTTATTTTGGAGCAATAAAGTGAAACATATGAAAAAGCTAATGTTTCCTGCAACTTCCGCGCGATTTGTATATATATATATAGGGAAATCGAAATCAAAATCATCCTCCGAACGCCGATAAGTCTGCGGAAAGCCAAAAAAAGCAAAAGGCGAAAAAGGACAAGAAGTCCCACAGCAAAATCAAGTCGAGCAAACGCAGCAGTTCCTGGGAAAAAACTCGGTCAGACGTGAAAGGCACACCCATGGAAAAAACCTGGAAGCTTCTCAACTCGTTTCTGGAAAGATTCTCTCAGGTTCTCTCAAAGGTCTTCATCCCTCTGATCACGAATGTGACCACAGTGGCGCCATCACAGAGCACCATGAACCCTTACGAGGTCTCGAGTGCACAACCGGTCCCGCCAATCACGCCCCAGATGAAACCCTCGGATAGTCTCCTACTGGTTCCAGTTACCCAGGGCCAGGGGTTGCCCATGGAGGACCCGTCCTTGCTGCACTTTCCCCAACAGAGTCTCGGCAACCATCAATACGTTCCTCAGACACTGCCGAAAATGCCTGAGGCGCCGCAACCTCAGACCAGACTCGTGGATAATCCTCAGCAAATCCCCGGGAACAATGTTATTTGGATTGACAATCAGCGCAGGACGAGACGGAAACGAATGGCGAAAGGAGGAGATTCCTTTGCTTTGTCCAGTCTTTCGAACCCGACGAACCCATGAACTAAATCGCAAATTCCCCCGGGTGACGGATTTTCAACTAACCAACAAAAATAAGCATGTTTAAAATTTCCTGGAATTTTCGACCGAATACATTTCTCCATGTCATCATTACAGACTTTGCAGAATTTGGGACTGCAGCAGCAGCAGCAACAGCAGCAGTTTCTGGGTTTCCAGCCCGTGGCAACGACGGGATTTTCTGCAAACTCTTTGCAGTTTAATCCCTTGGCACAAAGACTTTTGCCAATAAGTCCTCAATCCGTCCTGGAAAATTATGTCAACCCGTTTGTGTTGCGGAGACGAGCCAACAAACGAAGTCAATCTCCTGTGAGCAGTTCTTTGGACAGCAATTTCAGACCAATACACTTTTGAATACATTTTTTTGTGTTGAAATATCAGGTTTAGGAAATTTCAAAAATGCTGCAAACTGAGATTTGAATACATGTTGAATAAAATCCTATGCATCGTGAATCTCGCCATTTATCCAAATTATTATCTTCAACTTTGTAAATGTGTGCGAACAAAAACATCTGAATGTGTTTGCATGCTAGCCTTTTTTTGCAAGAAAGAACCTATATCTACTGTTTCTTAATTCAATTAGAATTAAAGTGATAAAACAAATGTGATTTTTCTGTTACCCATTGTACGAGTATATTGGGACACGTAATGTAGATTATTTTCTCGCCGCATTCAAGGTTTTTTCATGACAAATCAGTGAGCAACTCTGTATATAGAAGACCTTCACGATATATTTTGACACCGAATCATTACAAATATCTATCAAACTCATACAGTTTTGATTCTCAATTGAACTCCTGGCAAATTTCTAACAAATGTTTTTCCTGCTCCTGAATTCCAAAAAGGAGAGATTCGTAAGAAGCATCAAGTTCATCTTTTTTTGTTTGTTTGTTTTTTTCGATCGATCGATGTTACATAATTCCTAAGAAATCATACACGCCCCGCACTTGAAAGACTGCTTTCTCAGAAGCATTATTAAAGCTTGCTAAAGCCAAAGTTACATCAAGCGACAACTTCCTTTCAGTGCTAAACAATTGAATTTTTTTTTTTAGAATTGAGATGAAATGCTTCTCTTCATTGCTGTGTCTCCGGGTGAGAGTGTTTCTGTATTGTCTTGATCATAAGCTGGAAGTGGCATCAGGTCATCCTCTTGACTCTCATCACCACTGAATCCTTGAGGTGATGGCATTGTAAGAGTGCAGTATGGCATGCCTGAATCCACCTGTGTATGATAACATTTTTCCATCAATTTTTTTTGGAATTATCATATTCATATTACATAACTCTCAGACAGGTATAACTGGAGGCTTTTTCAAATCCTGTCCACATGCAATCAAAATATTATTTAAATGTACCCAAACAAGCAAAAGTTATTAGGAAGGATATAATCAAATGTTTTTATGCAGAAATGAACTTGACCCTGAAATTGTGGAAATTATTTTCCCCAAGCAGATCCAGAATTTTTTTTCATGCGGGAGTATTTTCGCTTGACCAAATGTCAAAAAATTGAAATTAGGACTGAATATTAGGAGCAAAGTGCAAAATTTTCCAGGAGAAATCCTTATTTTTTTCAAACATAAATTCTATTTTATGAATTCAGATAAAAGGACACTGATTAAAGAATTTTTTTAATTTTCTCCAGAGAAATCTTGGGTGGTGATTGTGCTAATATAAAATTTCAGACTTTGCAAAACATTGTCCATATATAGGTTGATCAATCCAAGTATCTTTCTAAGAATTGGGCTTTCAATTTGGCAGCAACAAAAATGCTGGCTCTGCAATAGAAGGTTCATTTAAAAATGTATGCCTTAATGCATAAGTTATTGTTCCAAAACCAAAAAATATCCATTTGAGAGTTACAATCAATCCCAGATTCAGTGTCATCATTTATCCTGGCACCTTTTGCGGTACTGAGCAAGGGTGGCAAAAAACCTTGGCCATTGTATCACAGATGAAAATATAGTTGAGGGCTTCTGCTATATATATGAAATCGATTTTTTTGCAGAACTGTTAGGTCATCGATTCCGTTTCATAAGAGAGAATGTAAAATGAAATAGTTTGAGGCTAAAATTAACTGCTTTTACTGCATTTCAATTATTGCAATGTATGGGATGAACAGTGGGATTAAAAAAATTTGTTGATTTTCTAACCACACAAAAACCTAAGAACCCTTTGGTGGCAGAGGGGTTTTTCCCATTCCATGGCAGAGTCAGGATTTCTCCAGAAAAAATCCCATTGCTTTCAGAAATTGCCAATGCTAATCCTATGCTAGGAATGTAGTGAAAAACTCTACCAATTTCAGTTTTTTATGCAAAATTTTTGGCAGGATTATGAAAACATATTAGAATTTTTCCTTACTTATTGGCTATGACTCAAACACTCAATTTTTTCAGTACTCATGGGCATAAGATTCCGGAAAAATGTCCCGACTTTTCCACACAAGGGTGTAAACAAGTAGTAGAGCGTCCACAGTGCGGACAAAAAAAATGAAAAAACGTTTGCAGAAGTGGGTTCCAAACCCACGCCTGCAGAACCAGACTGCAACCTGAACACAGCGCATTAGACCACTTGGCCATCCTGACAACTTAATGTACTGCAGTACTGGATGTGTTTTTTTCATGTAAGAAACAAACAGTAAACAAACAGGCCACAGACACACATTACATGACATCCTTATTATTCCCCCAAGACCCCTGTAGGATCCTACTGGTCATTCCTCCCACTGCGGACGCTAAAGAATAAGCAACTCTTGCTAAAAACTCCCATATCTTACGGCATTTAAAAACCTTACCTTCAGCCTCATTTTATTCCTTGTCAGCTCTTGGCAACACATGGCCAAGTGGATGTTACCCTTGGCAGCACTAGACCCAGTGCTAGGGGTTGCCAGTCTTAGACTCTGAATCTTAGGCAAGCTCCACTTGCTGCCACCAGTTCTGTTCCTCCTCCTCTCGAAGTAAGGTGCAATTTAAAAAAGAGGTCTTGGAAACAAACCCGAGTATTTCCTGGATAACACTTTCTAATAATTTGGCTTTCAATTTGGCAGCAAAAAAAATGCTGGCTCTGCAATAGAAGGTTTATTTAAAAATGTATGCCTTAATGCATAAGTTATTGTTCCAAAACCCAAAAACATCAATTTCAGGGGTAAAATCAAACCAAGATTCAGGGTCATCATTTATCCTGACACCTTTTGCGGTACTGAGCAAGGGTGGCAAAAAACCTTGGCCATTGTATCACAGTTGAAAATATAGTTGAGGGCTTCTGCTATACAGTATATGAAATCGATTTTTTTGCAGAATTGTTATAGGTCATTGATTCTGTTTCATAAGAGAGAATGTAAAATGAAACAGTTTGAGGCTAAAATGAACTGCTTTTACTGCATTTCAATTATTGCACTGCGCTGTATGGGATGAACAGTGGGATTAAAAAATTTGTTGATTTTCTAACCACACAAAAACCTAAGAACCCTTTGGTGGCAGAGGGGTTTTTCCCATTCCATGGCAGAGTCAGGATTTCTCCAGAAAAAATCCCATTGCTTTCAGAAATTGCCAAAGCTAATCCTATGCTAGGAATGTAGTGAAAAACTACCAATTTCAGTTTTTCTATGCAAAATTTTCAGCAGGATTCTAAAAAAAAAATATTGGAATTTGTCCTTACTTATTGGCTATGATTCAAAAATGCAATTTTTTTCAGTACTCATGGGCATAACATTCCGCAAAAATGTCCCAACTTTTCCCCACAATTGTGTAAATAAAAAAGAGCAACTCTTGCTAAACACTCCCATGTCTTACTGCATTTAAAAACCTTACCTTCAGCCTCATTTTATTCCTTGTCAGCTCTTGGCAACACATGGCCAAGTGGATGTTACCCTTGGCAGCACTAGACCCAGTGCTAGGGGTTGCCAGTCTTAGACTCTGAATCTTAGGCAAGCTCCACTTGCTGCCACCAGTTCTGTTCCTCCTCCGATCAGACGCACTTCTTACAATCTCCTTAGTTTCTTTCATGTGAGTGTGCGGATCCACGAGGATCCCCTGAACAAAGTTCAGAGCCCGGTTCACCTGCACATGGATTCGTTCCCTGTACAAATTGGCAGCAGTGGGCACAGACAACAATTGATGACTTGGACCCAATCTTCCGCCGTCATCCAACTTTGAGTCCACACTTTCCGCATTATTTTGGTTCCCGGTGGAGGCCCGTCTGCGGATCCGTTGATCCGATCCCGTGGATCCTCGTTTGTCACCCACGAGATCCCAAGTGAAGGACGGAGGCTCGTTGTCTTTGAGTGCGTAATTAGGACTTGCTGGACTGATATTCGAGAGTATGGAGTCATTGTCGTCGAAAAGGATCCAATCTAAATCCAGCCAAGCAACGTAGTCGCAACAGGACACCAGAAGAGTGTCCGGGTACGGGTTCGGAGACGGTGAAACCCTGCCGGAAGCGATGCCGGTGTGCCAGGCCACTAGTGACTCCGCGGGAAATTCGAGATGCTTTCCGAGTACCTTCCTGGACGGGAAGTCTAGGGGTGAACTTCTGAGCATCCTGCTGCTGTTTACATCCCAGATGGACAATTTCTAAAATAATAAAAATAGAAAACCTTACTCTTACATGTCTCAAAAATAGTGTACAAACAGTTCATCAGTCATTTTCTAGAGTTAGATCAATGTTCCCCAACCAGTGGTCTGCAGACCAGTGCCAGTCCGCAGAACTTTCTTTTTTGCCAGTTTAAAAAAAATGTCTCTCCATAATCAACTTATCAGAAGTATCAATAAAGTCTTTTAGTCTTGATATAAAAATTTGGAAGACAGTTAAAATTTTTTTCTACAAAATGAAAGTTGGCTTTTCTGCTATGATAGCACTCAGGAAAAATGTTTATCAGCTGAAAGAAAGTATTTCAAGCAATCATTTGGAGAAACATTTCTAGAAGCCTAACTATTTTTTTAAGACACTCCAATATTCCTTGATTCCTTGATTCCTGTTTCCTTGATTTT